CATTTTCTCCCATCAGCTCTCTTTTTTCCTCCTCCTCTATTTCTCAAGAAATTGATCTCTTCTTCCTCTCAAGAGAACCCATCGACCAAGTGTAACACCCCGTATATATCCGGTAATGTTATTATACTATCGTATTAAGCAGCGCTTAATTAAAAATGCGGAATATCTTTTTCTTTTCGATTATGATGTCATTATCATTACCAACTTGCTTATTAATCAATTAATAAAACATCGCCTGTATGTAATTGCAATAAAGCAGCTAACTGAAATACCTCGTTAAATAAAATAACATAATGTATGGCTCTAGTCACGGAACTACAACACGTAGAACGGACCAACTATCAGTTTATACAGTCAAACTCAAAAGTACTAACGACACAGTGGCATGGACAACTCCCATGCTCACCCAAATAAGGCAACAAATCCCAACATAAGTCTCAACATGAACAGCATATAATAGTGCGGAAAACATAAACAGCATCCAATCCAGTCATGCTAGCAAATAAGCAGTAATATCATAATCAGCTAAGCTCTGGCCTCCTGCCGCCAGAGGCATCAGTCACCATACTACCTGAACCTGAAATAAGCTTTCCCCAAACGTGGGGTGAGATCTCTAAACAAGAAATCTCAGTAAGACAAGGGGTCCTCAAGGATCTTCCACTCCAAGCTCACTTACATGTGCAATATAAGTTTAAAACCAGTTCATCAATATCATTTCTAAAACAGTGCAATGCAGCAGATAATCATGTCATGTGTGTCAATTCTATTCTACTGGCTAGAGAAATGCAGGATTTATATATGCCAAATACCCACACATAGTGCAAGACGCCACTTGCATTCACCCCGGATCACCATATCGTATGACGCCACATACTCAGGCTTACCGTCAAGATGAAACAACACATGCATATTAAAAGCCATTACACATAAAGCTCAACAGCATTTCGAATATTCAAAGCATGTAACACAACATGCATATAACCACATCCCCATGGGACATGGTGGAACCACAACATGGCTAAACCGAGGACACGAAAGCTTACCTTGCAAGCTAACACCCAAAGCCAAGAGTCCAATGCACAAAGTCCAAACACAACAGATTCACAATCTGTTATGGACCAATACTATATCAATAATAATGCACCACAAGCATATAACTTAAACACAACGCCTTTCCTTTACGTTTTACGTCTTAAGGCTCCATACCAAGTCATAAGCCCTTAATCACTTGATTCTGACTTAGTTCATTAATTACAGAAGTTCAACTTCATCAAACTAGGGTCCACAAACCCCCAATAGCCTACTGTACACACAGCACAGCTACTGTTCTTCGAAATCCCATAATATCCGGATATTCAATATCCGGATATCTCACTGTACATATCCGGATATACAATATCCGAATATCCAGATTCCCGTATCCGGATATCCAATATCCGGATATCCAAATCCCATATCCGGATATCACATATTCGGATATTTCTCGGGCACATATTCGGATATTTCACGACAGAATACAGAAACTGCATTTCGTGAAGATATCCTTCCAAGGTTCCATTTTTAACACTTTCAAATGTTAAAGCATGCATCTTTATACTGTTTAAGGGTCATACTACTGTTCGTTACTTGTTTAACTCTTTTAAACATACCAAGACTTCATCTTTAAGCAACAAAACTCAAGACCAAGGTTGGTACAACTTACCAAAGCTCAAAACAGAGAAGCAAAGGCTCTTGGAGCTCAACACACTGCCTCTCCAAGTCTGACTTGAAGGGTACCCGAAAATGCTGCCAAAGCTTGGCCCTTTCAACACAAAGGAAGCTCCTTGGAGCTTCACAAGCCAAGAACAAGACTCTCACCACCTCAACTCAAGAGGACAGCCCCTCCAACACTCACAAACAGCAACCCCAACTCAGAACAAGGTCAACAACACAGCCCCAAAGCTACTCTCACCCACACCAAGTGTTTAGGATAAGGATTTGTGTAGGAAGTTGCCTCAAAGCTCAAGAAATGGAAGAGGAAAAGCAATGGAACAGTACTCAGCAGTTGGCCAGCCCTAAAACTCACGTAGAGAATGTGTTATGGCCTAGGGTTTTGTGCTAACAAGCCTATATATAGCCACTTAACATATAAACACACAGTATTAATTTTAATTGCTACGCTTAGCATTTAATCCCAAACTTTAGATTCTTAACCTACTCAATTTTACAAGAATTATCATATTTTTCTTATAATTTTCGGAGCACCTTTTCGGTACGCGCTTTTCAAAGCCAGTACCGGTTTCTAGCACCAGTTCTCATTATTTGGACTTGAAACTCGTTTTACAAGTCCTACATGTTATTCTAGTAATTATCATGTACTTACTTTAATTTTCCGGGATACTTTTTCGGTACGCATTTATACCGACTAGCAAAACCGATATCTGCACTTTTCTTCCGAAAAGCGACTTTCAGCATTCTTACTCACTTACTATAATTATTAAAGCCTCATAATAGTTGTTAAGGTCAATTATGGAATCATTTTCTAATTTTGCATAATTAATTAATTAAAATCCTTAATTAACGGTGCGGGTTCTTACACCAAGCACTTCAGAAACACACTATTATTCATCTTCCACACAGAAACCACCTTGGAAGCTTAATCCTCTCCACCGTTAAAGAGCGACCTAAATTCCATCCTTAAGCAAGATTAGTGTTCTTAAGCTTAAAGGTTGCATTTTTAACATTTTCTTTGGTTCAACTAATGATTTTCCACACTTTCCAACATCAAGAATCCATTTTTATCAAATTACAACATCAATCCCATAAAGAACCCATATTGGCTGAATCATATAGGTGGGTGTGGGAGGACTTTGGTCACCATTTTTTCAAGTAACCATGCTTACTTCTTTAAGTTAGCTCCAAGGCTTCAAGCTTTAACTTTTTTCAAACAAAGATGCAACTTTTCCACAAAGAACACACCTTTAACAAAGACTCAAAGTTAGAACTCAAGAACACAACAAAAAGGTGAGATTTTTGTTAACTCTCCCAAACGAGAGTTAATTTGGTATTTTTATGATGAATTTGCTGCATAAATTCCATATAAAGTGTCTTAATTGCATGATATTTGAGCTAAATGTTGCATATTTATGATTAAGTGCTTTGAGATGACTAAGTATGGAAAATGAGATAATATTCCTTGATTTTGTATAAGAAAAGATGATTTGTTGAGTATTTGTCTTTGCAGGAAAAGTTGACGTCATAATGCTGTAGCAGAGAAGCTGACAAAATGATGATATAGCAAGCGCTACAGCATGACAGCGTGGACAAAGGAACAACCAAACTTTTTAAATTCAAAAGTTAGTTAATTCCCAACAAATGGATAAGACACCAGCAAGCAAGGATCAAGGACGATTTCAAAGATATATTCTTATCCCAAAATCCCAAGGAACAAGGACAACAAACCTTTACTCAGTCAACAACAACATTGGCACAAGAAATCAAAGAAGATCAAGATCTTATCCAATCAAGTGCCAACAACACAAGAAAATCAAGAAGATCAAGATCTTATCCAAGCAAGTGCCAACAGCCCAAGAATATAGGGATACGATAAGGCTGCAGTAACAAGATTCATGGATTTTCACTCCTAACCCTAAAGCCCAATTATCCAACCATTTTTCTTATTTAAAGAGGAGTTCCCCCACGGATTCAACAAGCGAGAGAGAGGTCGGAAAGGCAAGAAAGAAGGGAGGGGAAGAATGTAGTACCCCTCCCACGTAAGGTTCTTGGAGGAGGAAGAGCTGCTGGAGCAAAGCAGTGACGAAGTTTTCCTACAACATTCGTTTTCACCTTCTTTTCTGTTTTCCAATGAGTTCTTTCTTTCTTTTCTCTGTTTTATTTAATTCCATTATGATCTAAATTTCTCTATAGGTTAGGTGATAAAGTACCTATGTTGTAACATTGAGATGTATGCCTAAACTTTGTTTTTATTAATGTTTAATTAGTTATTCAACGAGTTTGCTTAATCTTATTCATGTGTGAATGTCGAGAGATACATATATGATATTGAGGAGGTTGGGGCAGAGAGGTTTCCGAATCCAGACCCTTGTTGAATTGTGTGGATTAATTAGGTTAAGAAAGTTAACTTGATTAAGTTGTGGGTAGAGAGATCATTCACACCACATAGCCTTTGAACTTGAACTTTAATAATTCAGTAATTAGTTTGGCCATAGAGATGTGGGAATTAGTTATTGGGTATATATGTTAGGTTGGCCAAAAGCCCCAGCAGTGTTCGGTTACTAATTAAACATTGATATAGCATTGTTAAAGCCTCGTTTCAGTATTGTTGTATCAGGAAAATTGAACCTGACCTATATCTCATTCATCACTTTAATACCTCAGAATTAGTTTACTACTTTCTTAGTTTTGAGTGTCTTTTATTTTACAAACCCCACCATAAAAATTAATCATTTTCTAGTTCCTTTACTTAAATAGTCATTGCTTTATAAATCATTTTCGTGGGAACGATACTTGGACTCACACATCCCTTTATTACTTGTGACACGTGCACTTGCGTATTGTGTGATTGATTTAATTGATTGCAAATTGCACAACAAGTTTTTGGCGCCGTTGCCGGGGATAATTATAAAGTTGTTTTTATTTTAGTGAAGAATTTTATTCCTTTTATATCCTTTACCTTTCCCCTTACTGTTTTAAAGTTGTTAATTGCAACGTATGAGCAGTTCTTCTTCAGAGCAAGAAGCAGATTTTGATCCTGAGATTGAAAGAACATTTCGAGCAAGAAGGAGACGACAAAGACGCAGCAATTCTACAGCAATACTCAACATGACAGAAAGGCTGAGAAACAGTGAAGAAGATGAACCTAGACATAACAATGAAGATCCAAATCAAGTTGAGATTCCAATCAGAGCGCATGCAATTCCTACGCTCAATAATCTGCATTATGGAATCGTTTAACTTGATGTAGCAGCTAGAACTTTGAACTGAAGTCAGTGATGTTTAACATGCTACAAACCATTGGTCAATTCAATGGAATGCCTAGTGAAGACCCTCACCTTCTCCTCAAAAAATTTATGGATGTAGCAAACACTTTCAAAATCACGGGAGTTACATCTGATGCTTTAAAGATGAAGTTGTTCCCATATTCCCTCACCAACAAAGCTAAAGCATGGTTGAATTCTTTACAACCACAGTCAATCCAAAGTTGGGAGGAGTTAGCGGACAAATTTTTATTGAAGTTCTTTCCTCCCATGAAGGCAGCCCAATATAGGAATGATATATCAACCTTCAAACAATTGTAAGAAGAGTCATTTTATGAGGCTTGGGAGAAATTCAAGGATCTGTTGAGGAAGTGCCCAAATCATGGCATTCCCGAATGGATTCAAATGGAGACATTCTATAATGGGCTTAATGGACCAACAAAGAGCATGGTCGATGCATCATCTGGAGGAGCCCTTTTTGAAAAAACATATACAGAAGCATATGCAATACTAGAGAGGATGGCAATCAACAACTATCATGGCCTGTAGAAAGATCAAGTTTAACACCAAAGAAGGCTACTGGAGTCTGGGAACTAGATGTTGTCACAACACTGTCAACACGGATTTCAGCTTTGAACAACTCTATCAAGACGATGAATCTGTCTGCTAAAGCTAAAGCACAACCAGTCAATGCCATAACTGATGCTATATCATGTGTTTTCTGTAATGGTCCCCATGTTTATGATAACTGTCCACAAAACCCTCAATCTATTTGTTTCATAGGTAATTTCAACAGGAACAACAATCCATATTCAAATACCTATAATTCTGGATGAAGGAATCACCCAAATCTGTCTTATTCTCAAGGACAACATCATAGACAGCATCAAGGACAGCAGCAAATGTCCTCAGATACAGCAGGAAGATCATATAAAGCTTCATACCCTCCTGGATTCACGCAGCAGCATCATCAACCTAGGCAGCAAGCTGATACATCAATTTCGCTAGAAAGCATGCTGAAAGATTACATGATAATGAGTGATGCTATAATTTATAATCAAGCTGCATCAATCAAGAATTTGGAGACTCAAGTAGGTCAATTGGCAGAAGCACTTAGAAGCAGACCTCAAGGAACCTTGCCAAGCAATACTGAAGTCCCAAAGAAAAATGGAGAAGAACAAGTCAATGCTATATCATTGCGGAGTGGTAAAGCCGTAGATGAACCAGAAGTCATAAAGAACTACCAAGAGCAGAAATAGAAAGCATTGAATCAGAATGAAGAAGATAAAGTTGCTGAAGAGGTGGAAAATCATGATCAACCCAAAGAACCTCAAGTTGCTGACACTGAGAATATCGCTATAGCAAAACCACAGCAAGGACAGACTGTCAGCAAAGCAACAAGACTACCACCTGCCTTTCCTCAAAGACTGCAGAAGCAAACTGATGACAAGCAATACAAGAAGTTCCTTGATGTTCTAAAACAGTTGCATATTAATGTACCCTTGGTTGAAGCTCTTGAGCAAATGCCAAGTTATGCAAAATTCTTGAAGGACATCTTGGCAAAAAGGAGGAATATGAGACAGTAGCTCTCACCCAAGAAAGTAGTCAATACTACCTCAACAAGTTACCACCAAAGCTAAAAGATCCAGGGAGTTTCACTATTCCTTGTATTATTGGTAACCAATATGTAGGTAATGCATTACTGGATTTAGGCTCAAGTATTAACCTTATGCCTAAGAGTATTTTCAGGAAGCTTGGAATAGGAGAAGCACGTCCAACCACTGTTGCGTTGTTGATGGCTGATAGATCAATAACTTATCCAAAAGGAAAAATTGAAGATGTGTTGGTAAGAGTGGATAAGTTCATTTTTCCCGCTGACTTTATTGTTCTTGACTTTGAAGCAGATAGGGAAGTTCCCATCATTTTGGGAAGAGCTTTCTTAGCCACTGGACGAGCAGTGATTGATGTTGAGAAATGAGACTTAACCATGCGAGTCAATGATGAGCAAGTTACATTCAATGTACTCAAAGCTATGAAGTATCCTGATCAAGTGGAAGAATGCGCTAGCATGGATACTATTGATGCAGTTCTGCTACAGCAACTCAAGCAGCAAACAGAGATAGAACCACTGAACGTTGCTATAGCAGAGGAATGTGCAAACGATGAAGATAAAATGAAGGAGTGCCTTGCATGGGTGGATTCCCAACCAATAAGGCCATACAAAGAAAGACACTTTGAATCTCTTGGAGAAAGAGTGATAAAGATACTCAAGCCATCCATAGAAGAACCTCCAATCCTTAAGCTCAAACCCCTGCCCCAACATCTTAAATATGCATACTTAGGAGATGAAAATACTTTACATGTTATTATTTCATCTTTTCGCTCTAATGCAGAAATGAAGCAGTTGCTAAAAGTACTAAAGGAGAACAAAAGAGCCCTCGGATGGAGCATAGCAGACATAAAAGGAATCAGCCCTACATTCTGCACTCACAAAATATTGTTGCAGGAAGGCTACAGCAGCACTGTGCAGCCTCAAAGAAGGCTGAATCCTACGATGAAAGAAGTTGTCAAGAAAGAAGTGAGTAAATGGCTTGATGCTGGAGTAATATACCCTATTTAAGATAGCCAATGGATAAGTCCTGTGCAATGTGTACCAAAGAAGGGAGGAGTCACAGTTGTGAAGAATGAGAAAAATGAGCTTATACCAACTAGAACTGTGACCGGATGGAGAATATGTCAGGATTATAGGAAGCTTAATGATGCTACAAGAAAGGACCACTTCCCCTTGCCATTCATTGACCAAATGTTGGACAGACTAGCAGGGAAGGAGTTCTATTGCTTCTTATATGGATATTCGGGCTACAACCAGATTGCTGTAGCACCAGAAGATCAAGACAAGACCACATTTACTTGCCCGTATAGAACCTTTGCCTTTAGAAGGATGCCATTTGGATTATGTAATGCACCAGCAACCTTCCAAAGGTGTATGATGGCAATATTCACAGATATGGTGGAGAATTTTGTGGAAATATTCATGGATGATTTCTCGGTCTTTGGAGAATCATTTGAGTCTTGTCTTAAGAATTTATCAGAGGTACTTAAGAGATGTGAAAAGACTAACCTAGTGCTGAATTGGGAAAAATGCCATTTCATGGTCAAAGAGGGTATAGTCTTGGGTCACAAAGTATCAAAGGATGGACTATAAGTTGATAGAGCAAAGATATCCGCGATTGAAAAGCTGTCATACCCGTTAATGTCAAAGGAATCAGAAGTTTTCTGGGGCATGCTGGATTCTATAGGAGGTTCTTCAAGGATTTCTCAAAAATTTCCAGACCTCTATGCAGATTGCTGGAGCAGAACACCTCATTCATAATTGATGATCAATGCAAGGCAGCATTTGAAGAATTGAAGCAGAAGCTTGTTACAGCACCCATAATTGTTGCACCCGATTGGACTTCACCATTTGAAATCATGTGTGATGCTAGTGAATGTGCCATTGGAGCAGTGCTTGGTCAAAGAAAGAATAAGATGTTCCATTCTATATATTATGCTAGCAAAACACTTACAGGGGCACAATTTAATTATACAGTCACTGAAAAAGAACTTTTATCTGTTGTTTTTGCATTTGAAAAATTTAGATCTTATTTGTTTGGTGCTAAAGTGACTGTTTTTACTGACCATGCAGCCATCAAATATTTGGTAGACAAAAAGGATTCAAAGCCAAGATCGATACGGTGGATTCTTTTACTTCAAGAGTTTGATTTGGAGATTAAAGATAAAAAAGGCACAGAGAACCAAGTTGCAGACCACTATCAAGGCTGCATGATGGAAGGTCAGAAGTTGATGAAGAACCTGTGAAGGATGAATTCCCAGATGAACAGCTGTTTGCTATTGACTATGCTATAGCACCATGGTACACTGATATAGCAAACTTTCTGGTGAGTGGAATAATGCCAAATCATAAGAACTCACAGCAAAGAAAGAGGTTCATCCATGACTGTAAGTACTATCTCTGGGATGAACCATACTTATTTAAAAGATGCCCAGATCAAATTTTAAGAAGATGTGTGCCAGAAGAGGAGATGCAATCTATACTTGAACATTGTCACTCATCTCCCTATGGTGGCCACTATGCTGGAGTCAGAACAGCAACAAAAGTGCTGCAATCAGGTTTTTACTGGCCCTCTTTATTTAAAGACTAACATGTTTTTGTTTCAAGTTGTGATAGGTGGAAAAGAACTGGAAATGTATCAAAGAGACATGAAATGCC